AAACTATGAAAATAATGTAAACTATGACTTTTGAACTAGCAACTCGCAGGTTTAAACTATGAAAGAACTCAAGTATCGAAGCTCAAACATTTAACCATCATCTGTGTCTGATAAGCTGTAGACAAAACAATGGTCCTCACAGTTTATAATAAGAATTAAGCTACAATAGTAAGAACTATTATTCCTTTAATGTTATGATCTGGGAGTGTGACTGATGACGTTTGAAAGTGTGTAATACTTACTATGGAAGGTATTGGTGGAAGCAAATTTGCAGGTGTACAGATTTTATTAGCTAAGCATTAACTATATTTCACGGCTTACTGATATGGCCAAGTAATCAAGTCTGCTACAAATAATGCACATGAACAAGAATGTGAATTAGAACAATTTAATGAAACATGGAATGCTCAATTTCTTATAAAGAGGAAACAAGGACCTAATTCTTGAGTCTAAAACCTTTAAAAACGTGAAAAATAAAGATTTATAAAAATTTCCTATAATTCAAGTAAAACTCAGCCAGCTATTGTGGGTAATCTTGCAGTTATTAAAATGATCAAATGCTACAAATGTTTATGGATTTTAATTTATATACTAAATCCCTGAGGACTTTTTTCCCACACATACCCAACCCTTTCTTTATGCCCAATAGGAATTACTTAAAGTAAAAAAGGTTCTGTGCTAGACATTAATCCTTTAGCACCTTGAAAACTGCTGGTCTCCAAGCTTCACTCTAGAAATGGCTCTATGTAAACAGAAGGGAAGAACATGTGTAGTGGCCTACGAGGACAGAGCTCCCATCATCCGGACTTGGGGAGGAAATGCAGCTTTTTAGTAAGCATAGAGGCAAAGCAGGGAACCTGCTTCTTTCCAATGGAGTTGGGGTCTTTGCAAAAGTCCACTTGGCGTTGAGAAACCTTCCTGTTGACAAGCGTGAGGAGCTCTGTGAACTCCAGGGAGGAGCCGTACTTCCCCAGCATCTCACACAGGTCCTGAATGTACCACGAGCCGTTCACAGTTTCCCGGTGGGAGTAATAACCTGAAGAAGAGGAAGGGAAGAAAAAGGACCCCGGAGGCTTCTGGCTCTCCATTAAAAAACTCATTGCCAACGAGTCGATCCCAACCATGGCGACCATACAGGACAGCGCGGAACTACGCCTGACGGTTTCTGGGACTCTTAACTCTTGACAGGAGGAGGAAGCCTGGCCTTTCTCAGTTCCCCTAGTGCAGCGGTTCTCAACCTGTGGGTCGCGACTCCTTTGGGGTCAAACGATCCTTTCACAGGGGTCACCAGATTCATAACAGTAGCAAAATGACAGTTATGAAGTAGCAACGAAAAGCTTCCACAATTCGGAAGTAATGTTATTTTGGTGCACAGCTATGTAGGCACTTACTGTATCTGAATATTTAACCCCAGTTCTTCTGTAAGAAAGGAAATTTTTAAGAGATCTTCAGTAATAGCTGTTTTCTCTTAGTGCTGTTGCCAACCTGTTCTGACTCACAGGGACGTGTAACAGAACAGAACACTTCACGGCCCTGTGCCATCCTCATAGTCTTTTATTTGAGCCCACTGTTGTAGTCACTGTCAACCCAACTCTTTGAAGATCTTCCTCTTTTTCACTCACCCTGGAATTAACCACCTATGATGTTCCGATCCAGAGCTGGTCCCTCCTGACATGGCCAAAGTAGATGAGAGATGATGTCTCGCCATCCTGGTTTCTGAGAAGCTTTTTAGTTGTACTTCTCCAAGACAGATTGGTTGCTTTTCTGGCACCTCATGGTATATTCAGTATTGTTCCCCAACATACTGCTAGGGTGCCAATTAATTTATCTTCCTTATTCAGTATGCCATCTGCCTATTAAAATGTTATCATGTTGCTTTTTGGTCCAGTCACAAGAGTTTATCATCTTTATGTTGAGGTGTAATCTATACTGACAAGGAGCTCTAGTGGCATAGTGGGTAATGCACTGACTTGCTAATCACAAGATCAGCAGTTCAAACCCACCAGCCACTCGTGGGAGAACGAAGCGCTATCTACTCCTGTGAAGAGTAAAGGCTCAAACACAAAGGGGAAGTTCCACCCTGTCCTAAAGGGTCACTGTGAGTTGGAATTGACACGATGGCATGGAGTTTCAGTAGTCCTTGACCTTCCCCAATAAGTGCTTCAAGTCTTCTTCACTTTCAGTAAGCAAGGTTATGTCATCCCTCTGTATACGTATCGCAGGCTATTAATGATCCTGATCTTGTGTTCTTCTCTTTAGAGCCCAGCTTTTGGGATTGTTTGCTCAGCAGACTGAGAATGGTGAAAGCATGCAACCCTGACACACACCTTTCCTGATGCTAAACTTTGTAGTATCCCCATGATCCCTTCACGCACCTGCCTCTTGGTCCAGGTACAGCTTAAGTGTTCTGGAATACCCATTCTCCGCAAGATCATCCATAATTGGTTATGAAATGCAGTTGAAAGGCTTGGCATGGTCAAAGCATAGGCAAATGCCTTTCTGATACTCTCTTTTAGACAAGACCCATCAGGTAACAGCAATGGTATTTCTTGTTTTGTGTCCTTTGCAATTGGGCTTGAATTCCTGATAGTTGCTACAACTGGTCTTAAATTATCTTTAGCAGAATTTCACTTGCATGTGATATCATTGTTTGATAATTTCTGCACTTTGTTCAGTCACCTTACTGTGGAATGGGTACAAATAGGGGTCTCTTTCTTATGTTCCCTTCCTCCTAAGTGACCGGAATTGTAACTCTTTCCCTGCAG